CTTTCATGTTGACAGGAGGATTGGTAACGATTTAAAAAGTCACGATGCTGTTACTGTTCTCGCGTGCTGAATTCCTAGTAGCACTTATTTTCTGCTTCCATCTGGTCTAAAGGTGGTGCTTAAAGCACGTTGCTCTTAGCAACCGTCTTCAGGAATGCTTGTTTCTTTGGACATGGCTAAACGGCTCTGTACATCATCGCGGGGTTTGTTTTGCATTCAGTCTGCTCCATAATCATGGCCGTAAAATTAGTGCCAGGGCTGACTGATATCCGGTACCGTCCAGCTGTCTGTCCGTACATGAAACGGGATTTATGGGAAGTGCCGAGGCTCAGTATCCAGGAGTCTGATTTGCTTTCGTGGGTAGCTATGCAAACAAACAAACTCCAGTCACGCCGTTTAGAAAGATGTGAACTATCTTCATTCTGACTAGCATCCCTGTTGAATTTAGTTCAGTGTGCTTATAAACCTATTCCTGGTGTGCAGCGTTTTGGCAATGATTTTAATAATATTTAATCCCGCGACTGAAGGGGGCTCCGGTAGCGGGACTCCATGCGCAGCAACATGGTCGCACATGTATGTCTCTTTCCGGACTAACTTCCCTTCCAAACCGCCTCTTGGGCTGTTAACGAGTTATGCTCCTCTGGTATTTGTAGCAGCAAACTATGAGTCTGCTTCTGAGTCACGAAACACTTTCTCTTGTCCTTAAAAATGATTGTCACCCATCTGAGGCTCAGGGAAAAGAAGCAGGGAGTGGCTGCTTGGTTTATTTTAGTATGGAAAATCTTCGACGTTAAAGCACAAGGAAGACTTTCCCCTCGCTCAGCCAGGCCTGTTGCACGTCTCTGCTTTGGGGAGTCTGGCTTTAGTCTAGTTCTGGTGTACAGGACCTGGAGAGCAGCCCAGCTCCTTCTTCAGAGGGTTACATCTCTCCATCCCTCTAGAGGGGAGGAGAGAAGGAGCAGGAAGAGCTTTGCTAATGTTCGGGAGAGGATTTTCCTATCGGATTCCTATGCTCTCCGTCCCTTCAAAACGCCCTTGCCCCCATGGGGGCAGGAAGCCCGTCGCCTTCCCGAGGAGATGCGAGAGGCGAGGAGATCCCCCCCAAAAGGCAGCCCGCCAGCCCCCGCTCCTCTTGCTCAGCCAGCAGTGCTATGGCAACAGGGGAGAGCTTGAAGCCTGCCAGAGCTCCAGCCCCCTCATTCCTCCTGTGCAAATTAACCACCATGGATTCGCATTGTCCTTCCCACGGCTTCTGTCATTGTTGGGACTAGCCAGCGCGCCCTCTTTTCCTCTCCCTTTCTCGTTCCCAAACTCTCTTTTAGCAACCACACCGGGGAGTCGAACCGCCTGGGTTATCTGTCAAAGGCAGAGGGGTATTTTTGTCTGCGCGCTAGAGAGCAGACGCTGGAGCGGCTAGAGAGGTGGAGTAATTCGCTGACGGGCAGCACTGAGGTTTCCTGTGTGGTGCAGCGACTCCCGGACACCTGCCTTCTGCTACTGGAATAGGGCAGTGTAGCGTTTGGACATCACATCAGCCACCCCTGCTAAATCACACTTTGCTTTAGGGGGCACGCTGCCAAAATGCCTCCTTTACCGTTTTGGAAGAGCTTCCCCAAAGCGAGGAAACTATGAGGGCGAGGTTTGTACTCGAGGGTTTCCAACAGGAGCCGTCCTAAACCATTTCTGCGGATTTAAAAAGCAGGTCCCAGGCTGAGAAAGGAGAAAAGCAGCCGTCGGAGTAGTGGCTTAACATTTTTCTCACCTGAGCTAAATGTGATAGAAACCTTTCCCTTATCTTTTGGCACCATACAAAAGCAAAATCAGGTGATTGTGGGAGATCCGCTCCATTACCGAGAATCATGCCTCGTCGCTTGTCGATTCACTGCCCTTGGCGGGAGCAGATCCAGGGTAGTGGCTCCCGAGAAGCACCATCACGTAGGAGAGTAACTCCAACACCGGTCCGCCCTCTGTCTCTGGATATGTCCGACAGCACCCAAAAACACATCACATTTGCTCAGGCCCTCTCGCAGCTACATTTTCCTGCTTTGGGGCAGCCCAGCACTTTGCAGCATAAGGCTCAACAACAGCTCTGAGAGCTGTTAATGAGCCATTAAGGGGTGTTAACTATCCGTGATTCCTCACCTGAGCTTGTAAGAACCTACTCTGCTAGTTCTTCCCCAAGGCAATGTGAGACGAGGTATTTCAAGCCCCTCTTTTCTTCTTCCTTCCCACAATCGACACTTATTTTAGCTTTGCGGTTTGATGTGTTCCCCATCAACCCTCTTCATTTAAATATCCACTTTCGGGTTTGGTCCCTGTTACAGACCTCTGCTTTAGGAGAGTGTGTGAAACTCTGGCCCGATTCTTGTTTTCAGGCTTACCGGGGATTTCGTTCTCTCGCTATTATATGTTCAAAAAGAAGGGGGAACATAAGCAGAGGCCCATGTCTGTAACCTAGACTTCTTGCTGCTTTGGCGTTGGGGTATTTCCAGGGAAAGCTGCCTTGAAGCAGATGGAAAGAAGACCTCAATACTACGCGTTAAAATGACGCTTATGGAAAGGAGGGTATCCCCTTTCTCCAGAAGCCTTAAAGCAAAAGAAACCCAAGAAACCCTAGAGGAAGAAATGCCTTCCAAAGAAAGAAGGGGTAGTTTTGAACCCCCAGATTTATTTCCCGCTACTGATTTCATTTTGAAAAAGCACGCCCAACAAAAACGTAGCAGATTTCTATTACCGTCCACGACATCAAAATAAGAGTAAAATTTGTAGAACAGTGAAGTGCTTATTGTGGTCAAGCCCGATTTGGGACTGAAGAAAAACTGACCTTATTTCTTGGCTCCATTATTGGAATACAGAAAGGGGAATTATTGCACAGTAGAGACTTCTTCGGTGAAAGTCTGGTACGGGTTTCATCTGAGATACTACTTTATTGAGCTGCTTGAGCTTATGCAAATTGTATTTCTTTTTGTAGATTTTTTTTTTTACAAGAGACTTCTTAGCAAAATCAGAGAAAAGCCCAACTCTGCAGTTGCCAGTAGGTGCCTAGCAATACGCTTCTGGGAAATGACCATTTTGACATACCATATCATTTAAAACCACCAAAGACCTGGAAGAGTAGTGAAAACTAGCTTTCTGCAAACGGGTGCAGACAGGAGTGTTCCAGAGAAAGGCTCCTGCTGAGTAACCAAGTCGTGCTTTGTTAGAGCGGACCTGAATTAGCCCTACTGGATGTGCCCTTTATTTGGGATATTTCACTGGCATTCTTTTAGCAGAGGGATGTAGACTGTCTTGTCTGCCAGTATTTAGGAGAGAATTTAAGAGAGAATTGCGACAATGTACATTTCTGCTTCGGGTGTGGAAGGCTGTTTGCCTTCAGATCAAGAATGCCATGAAAATCTACAGCACAAGTTCTTCCTGTAGCAGTCCTCAGACGTCCATGGTTTGGTAATCCCATTTAGAGGCAATGAAAATTTTATTGTCAAAGACAAGAAGCTCTATCTATGTGTTAACGTTCTCCTAGAGAGGAGTTCGAAATCGGTCTTATAAACAACAACAGAAATCTTTGAAGGAAGCGCAAGGTTAAGAGCCTCGGGAAGGCAGCGAGGAGGTGAGAAGCATTGTTATTGACTGGTCTAGATTAAACAGCGCAGAGGAAGATTTCAATTTGATAACGTCACAGCCCTTCCTGTTTTTCTTTGCTGCTTCTGCTGACAATTTTGTAAGGTAATTAAATTGGCTGATTGAAGTCAC